GTCCACGGAAGCCGAATGCCACCAGGACACCTGGGCGCCCCGCAGCTCGGCGAGCCCCCGAGTGAAAGCCGAGCAGCCGCGCAGACGTCCCACCAGGGTCCCTCTCCAGGTGCCCCGGGGGAGCAGGACTCGCACAGAGGAGCGCGGCCTCGTCAGGCCGGGCTGGCCCCACCGCCGGGACAGCCCGCCAGACCCACAGGCGTCCCCTCGCGACCACCATCCCGGGGCACACGGCCGAGTCCGCGGTCAGTGGGAGTAGCACACCCTCCCCGTGACGGGCGGACAGAGGCGGGCAGCAGCGCGAGGGACGCTGACCACTGGGCCTCCACGGCCGTGCCCGCTCCCAGCCCGGGGGCGTCCTGCCCAGCCGCGCCCACCTCCCTCCAGCACCCGGTCCCCTCTCTGCGGCCGCCAACCCCACGGTCCCCCCTCTGCACCGCTGGGCCGACAGGACGGGGCCCGGGACGTGAGCGCGGCGTGTCAGCCGTGACTGCGGGGCGTGCGAGGCTGCCTCCCGAAGAGACGGGCATCACGTCGGAGGACGGAGGGGAGCAGGCGGCCTCTGGGAGGCTCCAGGAGGGGGACTGTTCTGCCCGCGGTCCCTCGACCCTGGGGGGCTCCCCTGGTCCTGCTCTCGGGCCCAGAGGGTGGGGCTTCCCAGGGCCTGGCCTCCCTGTGTCTCAGCTGGTCCTAGCGGCCCCATTTCTCTGCAGAACCCGGAGAGCCCGTCCCTACGGCCTCCGGGAGGCCCCTCTGCCCTCAGCGTCCCGCACAGCCTGCCTGCAGCGCCTCCCTGCCTCCCCGGCGTGCGGGGACCCCTCTGCCCCGGCTGCTCCTTGGAGCATCAGGGCCCCCCCAGGCCGAAGCCCCCAGGCACTACTCTGATCCCGCTTCTTCTGTCCTCTGGTTAGATGGCACTGACCTTGATTGTGCCATGAGTGACTTTGTGGCGTCCTTCCGGTCCTGGGCCTGGGGCCATCAGCCAGAGCCGCCCCCCACCGCCCCTCGCGGTCCCAGCCCCGGGAAGCAGAGGACACGGCGGCCGTCCTGACCGGGACAGCGGTGCTGACGGCCTTTCCTCCCCGTGACTGCGCCCTGCCACCCTACGGGACAAAACGAGCCTGACCGCGTGAGGTTACTTATCACCTAGCACGCGTGGGTTCCATTCCGCGAAGTTGTGTTCTATCGTCGTGAGGCTGCTTTGCTACAGAGAACGTGACTGTGCCTTGGACGGAAGAGGAAGGGTCAGAGTGTGTAGGTTTTGTCTGTGTCTGCGGCGCGGCGGTCCTCACAAGCAGGTGCAGGGGCCTGGCCCCACCGGCCCAGGGAGAGGGGACCCGGGGAGGCACCGAGCGGGGCTCCGGCCAGGGGGGCCTGGGCCGAGGGACACCCCGGAACTTCCCAGAGGCTCGGGAGCAGCTTGAGTCTTGCTGGGTGAGCACCTGGGAAGGGGCACGGTGAAGAGGATGGTGCAGACCTGGAGAGGCAGGGGCCTCCTGGGGAGTCACTTCTCTGGGGGCTTGGATGCGTGCCCGCGTCACGCAGAAAGGCTCGGCGACGGAGCTGGGATGAACACGGCCTCGACTCGGCCAAAGGGCCTCCGCGGGGCAGCTACGCCCGCGTGGCCGCAGAGGCCGGTAGCCGCGGAGGGAGGGTGCGCCCTCAGCCGTGCGAGCCACACCGCCGGCCTCCCCACGTCCCCACGCGGCTGGTGGCCAGAGGAACCAGGCAGCCTGCACGGGGATCCTGCTGTGCCCCTGTGACAAAGTCCCGTGTCTCAGACCCGGGGCGCCGTGAAACCCCAGGCCCGACGGGTCACGGCCCCAGGCCCCGCGGCCAGCCATCAGCAGAGGGCCTGTCACGGGAGCCAGACCTGGACAGCGGGGCCCGAGGGGACCCATGCCGGGGACTTCAGAGAAAGGTTTTCCGGCCAACAGGAGGGGCCCAGCCCTCTTCTTCCGGCACGTGGACGCTGTTAGAGACGACGCGAGCGTGGCGCTGTGTGGACCACGCCGGGAGCCGTCACCAACCCTCCAAGGTGGGAAAAACACGCAGACAGAGCCTGGTCCCGCGCGACACGGCCAACCTGCCGAGGCCACCCTGGGAGGGCTTGGCTCACGCTGAGCAGGGCGCCAAATGCCCTCCAGGTCCCAGCCTGGCCCTCCCGCCTGCGCCGAGGCAAGGCTGAGCTCTCGGCTGGAGGTTTCAGGCTGGAGCCCTCTGAGGACAGGACCGGGCGGTGGGGTGAGCTAGGGGGTGGGCACGAGACATCCGGGGCGCTGGGGAGGGCACCTCAGATCCCGGGCGGGGGCGGCTCCCCGGGCATCTTGGAATGGGGGCTCTCTGGCCGGGGCAGCCCGTGTGGGGGGAAGGGCACACCCCGTCTGGGGCCGCGGCCCGGCTCGCAGTCCAGCGGTTACCCTTCCGCGGTTTTCCCCTGGGACCCTCAGCTGACACTCGCTGGCAGGGGGCGGGGGAAGGACGCGGCATCCGACCTTGCCTGGGAGGGGCCGCAAGACAGGCACCTGGGCCCACGGGAGGCGCACGGCCCCCGGAAACACCCCTTCCCTGGACCTCACTGCCCAGGTCCCCCCCGCCCCTCCCCAGGGAGCTGCCCACACCCCTCTTCGCTCTCCTTCCCATCACGCCCGAGCTGTCCGCCCCGCTGCCACCCACAACCTAGGGATGCTGTTTTGTCCCGGTGCCAATGGCCTCCCACGTGGCCCGTGGGCGTCTCCACCCAGCCCGTGTCCCCCAGCCCTCCTCTCAGCCCCGGCCCTGTGGCCCAGTGCCCAGCACCCTCACGAGGCCCCTCCACCACCTGTCTGAGCAAGGCCCCCGCAGGGCCCGGTCCGCCCCCCGCCCGCACAGCGATGGTCTCTGCCTGGGCTCAGCTCCAGGACCTGCGTGGGGCCAGGTGACGGGGCACAAGGGACCAGTGGCTGGCTTCTCTGCCACGTCTGGCCATCGCAGGCCACTCGGAAAGCCAGGGGAGGACAGGCTGGAGTGCGGCCAGGTCCGTGCACCTTGTTGCCAAGGCCGACTCCTGAGGACAGACACCTCGGGCCACACGCCTGCCCAACGCCCCTGGTTCCCCGCCCCGCTGCAGCCAGAGCCAAGCTCGGTCATGGAAACAGTGGGCGCCGGCCACAGCCCTCGCTGCAAAGCGGGGTCCCTCGCTGGCATCCTCCGCATCGGTCCAGACGCCCTCAGAGACCGCCGGAAGGACACACGGGCCCCTAATCCAAGTCAGGACAGGGTGGGGCCCATGTCCTCCGCACTAAACGGCCAGGGGAGGCCAGTGGAGGCAGAGATGGGAGGCTGTGACCAGCGCTGAGTCTGACCAGTTCCCACCTCTGACCCTGGACGCGGGGGCCTCACAGCAAGGCTGACCCCACGAATTGTTCCCCCGCACCGCCTCCCCAACCCGAGGGCCAGGAGGGGTTCCTCTGAGAACAGGCTTCCAGGGCAAGAGTCAAAACAGGGGGGAACCCAAAAGAGGCTGGGTGTCCCCCCCTCTCCCGCGCACCCCTCCCAGCATCCCTGTTTCCACAGGACTTGCCAAGGACATACCCCAAGAGACCACGTGGGGACAGGACGAGCAGCACTGGCTCAGGTGCAGCAGCTGGGCCCTCAGCCTCACCCACTGCCCCCACCCCACCCCACACCCTGCCCCACCACCCCCTGCCCCCAGCGGGCTGGACCCCCTGCAGCCCCTCACCTGTGGCCCTTCCAGGGCAGCTGCCCCCAGCACCCCCTCTGCTCCTCCTCCTCCTCCCTCCTCCCCTCCCACCCTCTACTTGCCAACGCAGGAGACAGCACCCCCGGCTCCAGACCAGGGCTCCCCAAGCTCAGAGAGATACTGCCGAGGTCGCGGTCAGAGGGTGGGGCCAGGTGGCCACTTCGGAAGGGCAGGGCTGCAGCCACCGTGTCGTCCCTGGGCCGCTGACGACAGAGGTCTCCCGGGCTCCTGGCTGGGAAGCACGCAGACTCCCAAAAGCCAGACGCCAGGCAACCTCAAGCTGGGGGAGACCAGGGATAGGTGAGCGGGGAGCCACAGCCTGCTGAGGGGACCCGGTGACCAGCCAGCCACAGCCTGAGGGTCAGATGGCCGGAAGGGGCTCAGAGAGGGCCTTGCCCTGCACCCACAGCCCGGGGCCCTCCTGGGAGCCGTTGGTTCTAGACACATTCAGGCAACAGGGACGGCGGACGTTGTGACCAGGAGGTGGGGGTGAATGCCCGGAGCACACGCCTGGCACGCCACTGGGCTTCACGACGCGGGCCGCACGGTGCCACGCGTGCCACCTGCCGCGTGTGGATCCGCCAGCCAGGAGGCTCGCGAGGCATCCTCAAACAGCCGTGGGCACAGCCTCCTGAGGCCTAAGGCAGAGGGCCCCCTCCCCAGATGCTACAGAATCGTCCTTGGCAGGTGGATGCCGGGGCCACGTGACAAGTGCATGGGGCCAGGGGACAGCCCCCCCCAACCCAACCCCTGCTCTTGGTGCCGTGTGCTCCCAATGACAGGCCAGACTGCATCAGGCACCCTCCCGGCCCCACCAGGGCGCCAAGCTGCTTGGGCCTCAGCGCCGTCTGTCTCTGTGGGCCCAGCCCCGGGGCTCCAGCTCCCCGGCTCCCCAGGCTACAATGTCCACCTGGGAGCAAAGCTCCGACCTGATCCCGCTCCTGCTCCCCATCCCACCTGCGCCTGCACCCCACCCCGGCCGCGGGCCCTGGGGTCACCTGGGCCTCAGGCCGCCGGCAGGCGCGTGGCTGAGGTGTGGGGGGGGGGGCGCAGAGTCAGTCCCCTGAAGGCGTCTCTGCGGGTGGAGCCGGTGCACCAGCGACCCCGGGGGCTGGCCCAGACACCCCCACCCGCCCCACCCGCCGCACCCACCCCGCGCGCGGGCCCGTCGGAAGCAGGACTCAGGAAACAGGCAGCGCAGGGCGCTTTGGATACAAAACTGTAAACACGAGTCTTTAAAATGCCAGAGGCCCCCCCTCCGGCCTAGACTCTGCGCCAGAGGCTCCCCACCGCGGGACCCCCAGGGACCAGGCCCCCGCCCGCTCTGTCCTCCCCGCGCGCACCGGCCACGCGCTGGGGCGCGGGGGGCGCGCGGGGCGCGCGGCGAGTCCGCGGTCCGGGGGATTCCTGAGATGAAGAAGCGGCCGCGGCGGCCCCGGGCGCCCTGGGGAGGGGGGGGAGGGCGCGCCCCACCGCATCCCGGCCGCACCGGCCCTGTCACGTGCCCAGGGCGTCGCGCGTGGGCGAGGGCCCGTGGGGGCGGCCGGGCGGGCCGTGCAGCGGCGGCGGCGGCGGCGGCACCGAGTTGCGCTGCGCGGGCGGCGGCTGCAGCTCCAGCGCGAGCGCGGGCGGCGGGAAGTCGCGCACCTGGCGGCGGTACTCGAGGAAGGTGCAGGCCTTGGTGGCCAGCGCCACCACGTTCTTGCCCACGAAGATGGCCGAGACGCGGCTGTCGCGGAACAGGGCCATGTTGGCGGCGCGCGCCAGCACGGCCACCACGTTGACGGTGGCGAGGCTGAGCACGGGGTAGAGCATCATCTTCTGCGGCGCGATGTGCTCGCCCTGCATGCTGACCTCGCTGAGCGCCACGCACGGCAGCACCAGCAGCAGCATGTAGCAGTAGAAGAAGGTGAGGCCCTCGGCCCACAGCGGCAGCCCGGTGCGCGGCGGCTCCCACAGGTTGGCCTGCATGTCCAGCAGGTCCAGCAGGTCCAGCGCCACCCAGAAGAGGCGGCCCCGCAGGTCCTCGCGCTTGCGGAAGGTGCGCACGTACTCCATGCGGTCGAGCGCCACGAGCAGCAGGAACAGGCCGGGCACGCACACGGACAGCAGCAGCGTCAGCGCCTTGCGCGCCACCGGGTCGGCCGCGCCCCTGCGCGCCGCCTTGTAGTTCTGGAAGATGAAGTAGAGCTTGATCTCCAGCACGAAGATGTAGAGGAACCAGAGGATCATGGCGTAGCCGCGCTTGGCCGTGCGCACCTCGGCGCCCACCCACACGGCCACGTAGCGCAGCACCAGCAGGAAGCACACGTCGCCCACCAGCACGATGATGCACACCCCGATCTTGCGCGGGCCCTGGTTCTGCTCCACCAGGTACGCGTCCATGACCGCCATGCTGCCCATGATCACCAGCGTGGTCAGGCACACGTGGCGCCGGTCCGGGGGCGGCAGCACCATGGTGGGCCGCGGGGCCCCGGCCTGGGCGCGCCCGGCCCCCACGCGCGGCGGGACGAGGCCCTGCGGCGGCGCCGCTCAGCCCGCGGGCATGGCGCGCCGGGGCCGGTCCAGCCGCTCCGGGGGCGCCACCGCTGCGGGCCGGCGAGCTCGGAACCTGCGGAGACCAGAGGGCACAGTGAGGGCGCGCCGCGGGCCAGACCCCGGCCCCCCGCCCCCCCCCCGGCCCCCCCCGGCCCGCGCCGGGCTCCCGGCCCTCGGCCGCACGCACGCGCCCAAGCGCGCAGGGGGCGGGGGGCGGGGCGGGCAGGGGGGGGGGCTGGGAGCCGGACGGGGCCTCCAGGGGGCGCTGCGGCCCCACCCGAGATCCAGACCCGCTTCCCGCCGCCGCCAGGAAGGAAATGGGGCGGAAGTGGTTTCTGCCCGCCGCGCGCGTCCGCGGCCCCCGTGGTGCGTCCCCGCCGGGCCCTGCGGCGTCCTTGCCCCCACCCCGCGCGCCTTGCCGTGCGCGCCCCGGCCCACGACCCAGGAGCATCCTCTCCCGGCTGCCTCCCAGCGCCCGCCCCCTGCACCTGCACCTGCTGCCCCCGCCTCGGCCACCCCGTCCCGTCGCCCGCGGAGGCTCGCGTCCCTCCAGGAGCCCTCCGCAGCCCCACACCGCCTGCTCGCCTGCCGCTGCCTCGCCGGCTCCCTGGGGGCCCCTCCGGAGGTCGCCCTCCGCCGCCAGCCCCCGCCCCCGCCCCACGGGCCGCCTGCCCCTCTCGCGGCCGGGGCGCGGCTGTCAGCTCCCCGCTCATCTGATCGCCCCGCAGCGGACTGGGGCCCACGGCGCCCCGCGCCCTCGCCCGGAGCCCGCCGAGCCCCCGCACCCCGCCTCTGCCTGCCAGCACCCCTGGCCCCGGGCTGTTTACTGTCCTGTCTAGACAAGGACATAAAATTTCATGTCACCCGTGACTGTGAAGCCCAGGCTCAGCCTTCCCCTGCTGACACCAGCGTCCCCAAGGCTGGGGCAGCGGGTCCGCCTGCAAGCCCGCGCCCCCACTCCGGGCCCGAGCAAGGCCGCTGCCCCTCCCAGGGCTCCCCCCCCCCACCCCGCAGCCACACTCGGGCCCCCCACCGAGTTCGCGCGCCTGGCGGGTGCTGGAGGGGCTGCCCCTCCGCCCTGCACGGGACCAGGGGCTCCCGAGGCCCACCCTCACCCCAGCCCGTGCTGCCCCACGAGGTGCAACCCCGTCCCACCCGGGCCTCTGGCCGCGGCCTGGGGATGGCCCTCCTGCCAGGCCAAACGGCCAGACTAGGCCCTCCCCATCCAGTCCTCGGCGCCCGCGGTCCCCTCCCGGCCACTCGTCAAAGGCGGCCCGGGGACGCCAGGGCAGACCCCATCCCGGCGGGAGCTCCCAGGGGGCCGGCGCCCCCGCCCCAGGGACCACAGCCGTCCCCCCCCTCCCCCCCCGTGCACAGCCTCCCCGGCCTGTCCCTGGGGAACCTGGCCCCCGGCCCTGGGTCCTGGGCCGGCCTGGACCCCGCGTGCCCCTGCCCGCGCCCCCCCTCGCCACCTCCTCAGTGCCCAGTGGTGGGGGGCGGGCAGGAAGCGGCCGCCAGCCCCGGCCAGACCCAGGCTGCTCCCGACAGGCTGCGGCTCAGCGCCTCGGCCCGCACCGCCCGCGCCCGGCCCTGCAGCATCGCTGCGCAGCCCGCCCCCGCCCCCGCCCCGCGCCCTCCCCGCGCCCTCCCCGCGCCTCCCCGCCCTCCCCGCGCCTCCCCGCGCCTACCCACCACCCGGCCGGAGCTCCCGGCCGAGGCCGCGCTCCCTCCGCTCTGCCCGCTCCTCTCGCTCCTCCGCCGGCCCCCGCCGAGGCCCCGCCCCCCGAGGCCCCGCCCCGCGCGGTGGGGGTCCCCGCGCCCCGCCCCCCCGCGGCGCCGGTTGCCATGGCGACCGCCCTGCGCCGCGCAGGTGCCGGACCGCGCGGCCGAGCTGGACCCCCAGACCCGCGCGCCAGCCCCGGGAAGCCTCTGCCCTGCCTCCCCCGCAGCCGCGGAGCGTGGCCCCGGGCCTCCGACCCGCCCAGGCCGCCACCACGGTGACCCCACGCGCCCTCCACGGGCAGCCTGAGGACCCCGCTCCCTGCCGCCGAGCCCCGGCTGAGCGCTGGCCCCCTGCAAGCGGCCGGTGGGAACGGGAAAGAGCCTACACCTCTGGGCGCCGCGTCCCAAGAGGCCCCGAGTCCCGGATTCTTCAGCCTCCCCCGCCCCCAGCCCAGCCTGAGCCCCGCACCAGGCCCAGCCTGTCCACCCTTAGGGTGGAGGAGGGGCGTGTAGCTGCGGCTCTGGCAGAGCTGCGCCCACAGACGAGGAGATGCACGGTCAGGGAGGTCACCAGGATCCCCCTGATGCGGAGGGGTGAAGCCTGACTCGCAGCTGAGGCCCTGAGCGGCTCCCAGGCCCACACAGCTGAGGGGGTCTTGCAGGGGACCCCCAACTGGCACCCACCCTCAGCACGGGGCCAGGGACATGTCGGTGCCAATGGGAGCAAAGATAGCAGGCTGCTGTGGCCACCCAGGCGCAGCACAGATGAGGTGCTGAGATGGTGGGGGCAGACCCTCCAGAGGGCTGGTTGGGACAGCAATCCCCATGCCCACTCCCATGCCCCCAGGTAAGGGCCCACCTGCCTCGGGGATGGCTCAGCTCCCCAGGGAAGCCTCCAGAAGCCCCCTGCCTCGAGGGACAAGGGGCCTGAGTTGAAGGCCACCCCTCCAGCGTGGAGGGAGGGGTCAGCAGGCTGACGGCAGACAGGTCCTGCTCGGGGAAGTGGGCACTCCACGCAGACCCACCCTGGCAGCTCAGGAGGCAGAGAGCCAGAAGCCCCTCCCTGTGTCCTCCTGCCTCGGGGACGGGCTCCCCCCCAGCCACCCTGCCCCTCTCCACAGCCTCTCTCCCTCCACCGTCACTGACGTCACCCTAGGGCATGCTCAGGAAGCCCAGTCTGCAGCCCCAGAGCTGCCTCGGTGCTCCGCACACCACCCCGCACCCACTTCTTGCCTCCAGTGAGGCAAAGCCCAGGCCTGAGAACCCCTGGCGTGTGTCTCTGCGCTGACCTCACTGGGGCTCACGCCCCTGCCTCCTGGTGTTTCCATCACCGAGGGCCGCAGCCCTGAGGGCAGCCCCAGAGCGGTTGGGGTTGGGACCTTGGGCGAGCGGGCGGGCAGTGCCTAGGGGACAGTCCGCTCTTTGCCTCTTCGGCCTGTGGTGACTGCAGCAATGCTTAGCCTTCCTTCGCTCGCGGACATCATGGGGCCTTTGTGTGTCTGTGTTCTTCTCATGAGGACACGTGTCATGTTGGAAAGGCCCACCCTAGTGACCTCATCTTGACAACATCTGCAAAGGCCCCGTTTCCAAATAAGGTCGCATTTGGACATGCTAGGGCTCAGGGCTTGAACATACCTTCGGGGGGACATAGTTCAACTCACAGACACTCCCCAACTTGCCAGTCTGTGCCCCCCTCACTGCCGTGCCTCCCCAGCTCCTAGGTCTGGCTGTAAAGCGCCCTCCGCCCTGCCCCAGCTCTGGCCCTGCCAGCACCCAGCCGTGTCTCTCAAGACAGCCCCTCACGGCCAGGCCAGGCCTTGTTTCCCCACCGTGCACATCGTCCTGCCAGCTCCCCGGGCCGCCAGCAGGATGGCGAGCCCGACCCCACGCACCTCACGCCAGGCCAGGCTTCCATCCAGCTGCCACCTCCACTCTGGGGCCTGGCTACCTGCCCTAGCCGCAGCCCCTCCCCTCTGGCTGTCACTCGGGTGCAGTCACCAGGCTGGGCTCCATGCCCCTGGCCGGCCTGAACCAAATCCACAGACGGACTGTGGGAGCCTCACGCTGCCTGGATCCCCTCCGGACACAGAGCAACTTCACACTTCTGGCAGCTGCTCCATGAACTGTGTGCTGGTCCTCAAGCTCTTGGAGGGGGACGGCAGCTAGGCCCACAGGGGCTGGGGTCCCTGGCTCTGACCTTGGCGGCAGGGGAGCCGCGCAGGCCCCACCTCCAGTGCCCAGCAGAAGCACGTGGAAACCTCAAGGAGGCAGGGATCTGCACTGCAGCCCTCAGTTGTCCCACAAGTGATTTTCCAAACACAACAAGCCACGACACTGGACTGCAGGAGCCAGCAGAAACACACTGAACCCGACGGAGACGCACCCTGACGCTTCAGAGCCTGGAGGTGCCGGGTGCAGGGCAAGATGGGGCCCTGGAAATGGCAGATGCCACCGAGTGGATGGGGGAGAGCGCTAAGCAGGCCTGATAGGACTAAAGTAAGGACCAAAGGAGCAGAGTGGACACCCTGGAGGAGCCCTGAGGATGGAGGGCGGTGGGGGAGCCAAGCAGACTGGGGCATGGAGGACAGAGGCAGGGACCACGGAGGTGAGAGGGCAGAGAGGGGTGGTGGGAAGCCTGACCCCGCGTGTCATTGCAAGCCCAGGGCCCCCACCAAGGCACAGCGGCACTCTGAACAGGGTGGCTGCGAGGCGGTGCAAGGACGGCCTCCGGCCCATTTAGGAGAGCGCTCCCACTCTCAAGGGGCGCGTGATGGGCTTTCAGGGTGACGGGTCACGGAGCCTGCGCTTTACCTCCAGACGGCCTGGGACACGCATGCCGGCAGAGCTCGGCCGGGTGTGGCTCAGGGGTAAGAGCTGCTGAGCCCAGGCCATGGGCTCAGGTTTGCTCTTTTCGTGTCCTGGGGAGACAGAGCAGACACAGTCGACCCTACAGTGCGTGGAGCTCGAGGGCTCTGAGAAGTAAACGGTAGCAGGTGGACCGTGGTGAAAGCCAGAACTGGAAGCACCACCGAACGAGCGGTGGGTCTCAGGATCTTCCTCCGTATCCCCAGCCTCGACTGAAGCCAGCCTCAAGGCCAGAATGGGGTGGGGACCTGGACGGAGAAAGCTCCGGGAAGCCCTCTAGTTGTGGCTCAGGGGGCAGGGAAGAAACAGGTGTCCTGATGCTCACGGGGATTGAGGGAGCCTCGGGCAGAGGGTGGGCTGGGGTGACCCTCCTGTCCACACACCTGCCCCAGCTGCAGTGGACACACAGGCTCACAAGTGCCTGCAGTGGGGAGACCTCCTCTCCTGTGGGAGGAGACGTGGTCCCTAGACGATCTTCCCCTCTTGCCTGAGGGGAAGCTGTGCGTGTGTGCAAAGTCTACACGTAGAGCTACAGGACAGTCCCCCACGGGCCACCGGGTAGTGCTCACCCAGGGCGATCCACGTGACACTGTGAAGGCTTTGAAAACAGAACCGACGCTGAAACCACACCCTCCAGGAGGCTGGGTTCATCGCGTTCTGAGACAAAAATATCAACATTCTCAGTGGGATTTTTAGAAGACCAGGTATTCACGAAGTAATATTTGATTGTGCAAGACACAATCCAAAACTATTCTGCATATGAAGAACCAGGAGAGGGACCCCCTGGGGGGCTCAGCGGTTGAGCATCTGCCTTGGGCTCAGGCCGTGATCCCAGGGTCCTGGGATCGAGTCCCACGTCGGGCTCCTGCATGGAGCCTGCTTCTCCCTCTGCCTGTGTCTGCCTCTCTCTGTGTGTCTCTTGTGAATAAATAAATAAAATCTTTAAAAGCAGAAGAAGAACAACAACAACCAGGAGAATCCAACCCACAAGGGAAAATAAATCTAGTGCCAACATGACAAATCCTCCACAAAATATTAGCAAATAGAATCGATCAACATTAAAAAAAAAAAAAAAAAAAACTACAACCACCTGAAGGGTGCCCCAGGAATGCAAGGCTGGTTCAACCCAGGAAAACAAATCAGTGTCATCCACCATGCTAACAGTCTGAAGAAGAAAGCCGGTGATGGTATCAGTTGATGCAGGGAAAGCATTTGACGGAATCAGCATCCACCCATGAGGAGCACTCTGAGCAAACAAGAAACAGAAGGGACTTACTGTCATAAAGGGCACCTACAGAAAGAAGCAACAACAACAAAAACCCTACAGTTGACATAACACTGAAGGACTGATGCTTCGCCTTAGTCATGTATGAATTAATGAGGACGACAGTCCTAGGTAACTTTACAGTAGAGGAATCTGGCAGGTGCCATTCTGACCGAGTAATAAAAATTAGAGGCACCGACAGTGGGGCAGATGGGCCTCGCGGGCTTCCTGGCGTGAGGCGCCGAGAAGGCACAGCATCCCGTGTGTAACATCCGTGCCCACCGGTCGGGGGACACGATGGAGGTGCATTCTACAGATTGGTCGTGAAAGTCAGGAACAGACAGAGGAACATTCCAGATGGAAGAGGACTCAGGAGAGGTGGCAGCCAAATGCACACACGAGCCAGGCCTGGTTAGGGACCCATGAAGGACGTCATAGGGCAATGGAGAGGTTTGCGTGGCATCTGCCCGTTAGATGGGGACGCTGGGGGCGCCGGGGTGGCTCAGCGGTTGAGCGTTTGTCTTCAACTCAGCTCCTGACCCTGGGGTCCTGGGATCGAGTCCCACGTCGGGCTCCCTGCATGGGGCCTGCTTCTCCCTCTGCCTGTGTCTCTGCCTCTCTCTCGTTGTGTCTATCATGAATAAATAAAATCTTTAAAAAAGAAAAGAAAGTGAAGGGGCAGCCCCGGTGGCGCAGCGGTTTAGCGCCGCCTGCAGCCTGGGGTGTGATCCTGGAGACCCAGGATCGAGTCCCACGTCGAGCTCCCTGTGTGGAGCCTGCTTCTCCCTCTCCCTCTGCCTGTGTCTCTGCCTCTCTCTCTGTGTCTATGAATAAATAAATAAAAATCTTTAAAAAAAAGAAAAAGAAAAGAAAGTGAAATTTCTGTGTATAAAACATGCATATGGGGCACCTGGGTGGCTCAGTTGGTTAAGCATCTGCCTTCAGCTCAGGTCCTGATCTCGGGGTCCTGGGATCGAGCCCCATGTCGGGCTCCCTGCTCAGGGGGGAGTCTGCTTCTTCCTCTCCCTCTGCTGCTCCCCCGGCTCCTGCTCTCTGTTGTTATCCGTCTCTGTCTCTCAAATAAATAAAATCTTTTTAAAAAATGAAATAAAATAAAATAAAACATGCATATATGTGTATGTAATATACGACACCTGTACACACGTGTTTGTACGCAGTGCTTATAATACCGAGGAATAAATCTAACAAAGCAAGTATAATACTGGAAACAGCCAGAAAACCAGAAAACATTAATAAGTTACACCTAAACAGACGGACCTGTGTTCATAAATTGGAAGAATCAATATTTATAAAGCTGTCCCGTCTCCTCAAACTAATCTATACACTCCATGTAACTGCAAGCAAAATGCCAAGTTTGTCCCCAGTACATGACAAACTGATGATAAAATGTGTCCCGAAGTGCAAAGGGCCAAGAAGAGTCAAGACCTTCGGGAAGGGGGCGCCCGGGGCGCTCAGTCGGTGAAGTGTCCCGACTCTTGAGCTCACGCCTCGATTTCGGGGTCGTGAGTTCAAGTCCCACATTGGGCTCCACGCTGGGCATGGGCCCTGCTTTAAAAAAATAAATAAAATAAATATTTTTTTTAAAAAAAGGCTTCGTGAAGTAAAACAGGATGACAAAAATTTTTTTAAAGATTTTATTTATTCATGAGAGACACAGAGAGAGGCAGAGACACAGGCGGAAGGAGAAGCAGGCCCCATGCAGGGAGCCTGACGTGGGACTCGATCCCAGGATCACGCCCTGAGCTGAAGGCTCAACTGCTGAGCCACCCAGGTGTCCCAAAACAGGGCGACACACTGACCGACCGCGGGTGCAGACCTATTGTGAGGCTGCAGGAGTTCCAGCGCGTGCGTTCACGGAGGCGGGCAGAGGGCCGCGGGCCGCAGCAGAGCGGCAGACACCTGCCAGGCACAGAGCGCGCCGTCCGTGGCAGGTGCCACCTTGCAGCAGTGGGGCTGGCGGTCTTCCCACAGATGGTGCCGGGACAGTGGTCGTCCACATGGGCACGAAGAGCCACAACTCAGACACCCGAGCGCTGTGGGAGCGAACGATGCTCTAAACTAACAATAGGTATGTTTAGGAAGGTGAGAGCAATGTCACGGGACGGGTCAGTAAGGAAGAAAGCCCTGAGAGACTCATCTAGAGAGAAAAATCTTTTTTTTATTTTATTTATTTATGATAGGCACACAGAGAGAGAATGGCAGAGACACAGGCAGAGGGAGAAGCAGGCTCCATGCACCGGGAGCCCGATGTGGGATTCGATCCCGGGTCTCCAGGATCGCGCCCTGGGCCAAAGGCAGGCGCCAAACCGCTGCGCCACCCAGGGATCCCGTAGAGAGAAAAATCCTTGTGACTTTGGAGTTGGAAAAAAAGCTTAAATGGGCCACAAACAGCAGTGGCCATAAAAAAGAAAAGAGTGATCCACTGGATTATGTAAGTCTTGGCTTCTTTTTTTTTTCTTTTTAATTTAATTTAAATCCAATTTGCCAACATATAGTATAACCCAGACTCAGCTTCTGCTGATCAAGAGACATCACTGAGGGACGCCCGGATGGCTCAGCGGTGGAGTGTCCCCCTTCAGCTCAGGGCATGATCCCGGGGTCCCAGGTTCGAGTTCCGCATCGGGCTCCCTGCATGGAGCCTGCTTCTCCCTCTGCCTGCATCTCTCATGAATAAATAAATTTTTAAAAAAAGAGAGAGAGAGGAGAGAGAGAGAGCCATCACCGAGAGTGTGCGAAGGCAAATCACAGACAGGGAGGCACTTCCTTTTTTTTTTTTTAATTTTTTTTTTATTTATTTATGAAAGTCACAGAGAGAGAGAGAGAGAGAGAGAGAGAGAGGCAGAGACACAGGCAGAGGGAGAAGCAGGCTCCATGCAGGGAGCCCGATGTGGGATTCGATCCCGGGTTTCCAGGGAGGCGCTTCCTGCAGCTCCAACGACGGGCGGAGGACTCCCATCCAGAACGCACTAAGAACCTCTACATGTTGGTAAGAACCACAACACCCCGAGGGGAAACA